ACTGTCACTTGGGTTTACAGAGATCTTCTGAGGAAAGTAAAGTGGATTACAGGAAGCATGACAGTCAATTTCTAATGGGTCAGCATACCAGCTGATGCTTTGTCAGACTCTTTGGCTAAGTAAGGGGTTTCTCGGGTATCTTTGTATTGGGCTAATTTATAATTTCATAGTGCTTGGGTCTGTACTCCTACCCCTTTGAGGAGGCAGCATCTCGTGCCTCCTCCAACGCTGATTGTACTTCTCAGTCTTCCCTTTTTCTCTCTTTAATAAAATTGCCTAATCATTCATAAAAAATAATTGTAAGAAGCCCAAAGACACTAAGGACTGGTGTTGGAAGCTGAATTCACATCAAAAGCCTAAGAAGTTTAAGACAACAAAAAAAGGAAATACACATCTTGCTACTAAGGGAGTTGATTGCCCATCTCTTAGTGTTTCGGCTCCTTCACATGATTGCTCCGATGTGAAGGAGAAGCTTAGGAGTTAGGAGCATACTGACTAAACTTGAGAAATGTCTTGTGGTGGGGGGGACTCATGTAATTTTTACAATGGCTTAATTACAACTCAGTGGGCCCATGGACATATGGAAATGTCTTGAGAGGGTTAAAACATCTGTTGATGGACAGATGGAGTTGAGAATAGACCACAATTGGATTTCAAGATCAGCTGACAGTATGGCTATTGCTTTAGAATGATGAGGAATTTGCTGTTTGAGGGAATTGAGTGATAAAAGAGGTGAGAGTAGCAGGTGCTAGCACAAATCTGTGGTGCTTGGCACATCTTGCATTATCATTTTTTAACATAAATAGACACACATGCACAAACATAAACATACATATTTGGCCATTATCGTGATATGGTACATACATACACATAAACATATATGGATATTATCCATTCTTGTGAGATGTCTTTTTGATAAAGGTACTAATTGTTGTGAATTCTTTGCAGATATCCCCACAATGCTATTCCACCGAATATTGCTCCTTGTATCCTTTTCTTTTAATGTTAGTGATTTATGGTTAATTGGAAAATGTTACTCTGCCTAGCTTTTATTGCAACTTTTATCTATTTAACATAGGTAAGTGTGCCATGTTCAAACATTCTGACCTCAACAAAATTGGGTAGCCTAAGATATACCTAGGACATTTGAGGCTGATAGTGCCTTGGCGGTAATCCTGGGGCAAGTATGCCCAACAGCCCAAGTTGATTGCATAGTACCAAGTTGCCAACTATTTGATTCTTGTGGCTAAATTGTGGTTCATAAAGTTGATCGCATGGGTAACATTGCTCCAAATTTACATGCCCTGTGTTATAAAATGAAATGGACTAACGATAGGCATGGTAGAAATGGAAATGCTTAGATGGATGAATGGCAAAACGAGAATGGTCAGGGTTAGATATGAAGTAACCCCTACTCCTAGATACAAAGGAACCTAGGAGTAGCCCCAATATTTGATTAAATGAGAGAAAGCAAAATGAGATTGTTTGACAAGCATAGAAGACCATCCACAACAACCATTAGAAGTGATCTGTTACAAGTTGAAGGGGCTAGAAGAGCTAGATGCAGATCAACAAGGAGTTGGGTGGAAGTAGTAAGAAATGATTTAATTGCCCATAATTTAACGATGGATATGACATTGAATAAAATGGAGTGGCAAAGCAGGATTAATATAGCCAACCCCATATAGTTGGGACAAGGCTTAAATGATGATGATGAAAAATACCAAATCAAACTAATTGTATACTTTTTGTATATGTACTGTGTAAATGTTTGTAAATGTATGGAAACTATTTTGTTGTGTTTTTGAGGTATAATCAGACATGGCAACATAAATTCAAGTATTTTTTCCCTTCTTTTATTAATATTTTTGCATGTCTTCAGGGAAAATCCGTATCACCTATGTTGTCAGTATTCCAGTTTTTGATTGCATGGTTTACTTGTTAAAACATGGTTTATGATAAATCTTTAGTTAACATTCCATCTTTAAGTACATATTTCTGTTCTTGTGTTGATGATCATCACATGGAGTTTCTTGACGTAAGATTGCAGATTTGAATGTCAACCCTAAAACATTGAACTACTATCCTACAGTTTTTTTCAATGAGTTTTGGTTACTTAGAGACAAGCTAATACCAATCAATGAGACAGTAACAGAATTACCACTACATTTGGAGGTGGGTCCCATAAGTATGACAAAGTGGCAATTATTCCTACAAATTGATCAATCATTCCAGATTCACCGTAATTATGGAAGCATGCTTGAAGGAGAGGCTGATGAACTTAAGGTACAATTTATATCACTTGTTAATGTTCTATTTATGTTTGGCATACAAGTAAGCAGCAGTTGTAGGTTTTTCTCTTAATTTATTCATACTTGCAGTACTGCATGAAAACTTGAGCTGAAGTGGTCAGCACTCTAGTTGGATGCTTCTATTCCATGTAAATATGGTTAAGATTGGATAGAATAAAACCTGAGAATAGAGAAATCTTGGGAGAATGTAGGTGGGTGAGAAGAATTTTATTGTTCTTAGCCTCTTAACTCTTATGTTCAGTGGAAACTTGTAGTCTGTCCCACTTAGCAGGCACGTGATACGTTTATATTTCTAACATGAAGTACAATTACAATTTTTTTGAAGATAAATTAAACAGAAAATTCATTAAATAAGAAAGAAAAGAGATGCAATATGGCAGGTGACAAGCATCATCACCCACAAATACAAAGAACATACAACAAAACAAAAGAAGGGAAGAACAAATAAATACAAAATGCTCTTGCTTCAACTAACAAACACTCAAAGAAATCCAAAATTTAGAACAATCCAAAATTTCTCCCTCTATTTGTTATTAAAGATTCTTATATTTCTTTTTTTCCGCAGCTCCCAACAGACTGCAAAAGGCACAGACTCCATCTAAATTTTCACTTTTTTTGCCCCAATAATCCCTGGCCACTTTTCAAAGATCTCCTTAGGAGACTGAGGGTCCCATCCTTGTTGAAGAGACGACCATATGCAACTGACAAACGCAGTCAACCATCAAATGCATCACATCTTCTGATTCCATCTTGCAAAGGATGCACCTGTTTGCCAAATAGAGACCTCTTTTCTTCAAATGATCTTGGGTAAGAATGCTGTTCCTTGCAACCAACCACGCAAATGCTTCACCTCTAGGAGGAATCGGATTGCCCCACATGCCTCCAATGTGATGTTTTTCCACTTGATTTCAAGCCAGAACACTATAGAAATGTTCAACTATAAATCTGCCATTTCTACTCTCCTTCATCTCGCATCTGAGCTCTCTGGATGAATCATCATCTCTTGGAGTCTAGACAGCAGCACCTCACATTCTAACACCTCTCTATCAAGGAGATAACTGATGAATCTAGGACACCAGCACCTCTTTCTGCCTCCATTGAAAGCATTGGGCAATAGTGATATCCTTTCTGCTCAACCTATATAATCTTGGACAAACTTCACACAATTTCCCCACCTTTAACCACTCATCCTCCTAGAATTTTATCCTTGATCCATCCCACACCTTCCACGAAACACAACTACTGAAGCTTGAAATTTCATGATCCCTTTCCAAACACTCACTCTGTCAGCTCAGGTAACCTCCCTCCCTCAAATCCCACCCAAGATTCACCACCCCATATGTATGGACAATTACAATTTTGTCTGTACATAAAATTATGAAATAGGACGAACAAGAATGTCTTTAACAAGAGAAGACCAAATTACACCACAATTCCACACACTCCATAAACTCTAAAACTGCTTAAAATAGACCATATATGTCAAACAGCTCCAACTTGTTAATGGGGTGAAAGACACACTTGCAATACCATAAATTGAAGATGTGGTACCATCAGCAAGGGTAACAGACGTAGATGTTAATGTATGATACAAGCAATATAACACACCTGGGATTCAGTTATATGACTTGATGCCCCAAAGTCAATGACTTCGGTGGAAGGATGAGACTTTTGAGAAGCGAGACAAATGGAGGGCACTTAGTTCATGTCATGAAGGTTATTCATTGCCTAAAGGATGGACTTCTAGGGGTGGGGCCTTGTAATAAATTTAAAAGAGTTTATAAGAAGAAGGGGTGAAGATGAAATAGGTTTTTCATCACCTAAAGTTGGTTCATTCATTCATCCTAATAAAATGTCTTCTTAAAAAGCAAGTAAAACTATAAAATCATTATTTTTTGTGTGAAAACTAAGAATTTAAGTGCTAACGTGGACTTGTTTAGGCTTGCCTCGAGGGGCGTGGCACAAAGGCGGCTCGTAGAATCAGGAATGTAATATGTTTTACATTACATTAACTACGTGAAGTAATGCAATTGAGTGAAAAAAGAGATTAGAGGTTTT